ACACCCCACATTGGAAGGAACCTACATGACCTGACATTTAGCATTTAACCAAGTCATTTTGTGCGTATTATAGCCTTCATTGGATTTATAAATTATCTCAGAGTAGAAGATATCTCACAAGAAAAAAAAAAGATCACTTAGTGTAATCTTACATTTCTTACACATTTCACCCACTTATTGTCCCTCTGCAATACTGCCACTGGCACATTAACAATTATCATGGAATTAATTTACTACACAATATCTTTAAAACTATACATTCATAAGATTTAGGATGAGCAAAGGAAAAGGCTGCGGGGTCAAGAGTGGAACGACTTTTTCTAATGTTTTGGAACATCAGTGAAATTCGCAGTCCGTGCATCCCTTGAATCTCATCCTTGAGTGCCTGTGGGGGATAAAACACAACAGCCAATGAATAAACTTTTACACACAACACAAACATGTGTAAGTCTTTCATAAACATGTCCACCAAAGATAAGTAGATAATCTTCTAAAAGAATCTCACAAGCGTGGTCGACATAGACCGTAGCAAACAAGCCCAAGTACAAGCGTTCTTGTAGAAGCAGCAGCCAGTAGGCCCTTTAAACTTCGCTACCCTTTTGTTTTTTTATCTGTTTTTTCTGGCTTTATTGCCAAAACATGCATTACCTCTGACATAAATACAGTCTTTGGAAGATGAAGACGGAATTTTTTGGATTAAAGAGCAGCAGACCATGATCCACCCGGCCCAAACAACCGGACCAGGTGCCATGGCGGCTGCGGTGATCACTTAGAGGAGAGGAAAGAGAGCCAGGAGAGGAGCCATGCTGGCCCAGCTTGGACTTAATTCTGCTCCTAAAGAGCCGGTCTGGACAAAATGGCACTCATGTTGACCAAGCAACAGAATCCAGAGACTGTTGTGCCCACATCGTTACAGAGACCTGCCCTATCAACATCCTGGATCAAGCACTCGGCAGGTGGTCCATGTTCCGAGCTGTAAGCGCAAGACTCTGGCAAGATGAGAGGAACTGGACTCTGTGTTTTACATTGATGATGCTTGGTGCACAAACACGGTCAAGATGGACTCTGTTTCCCAAATGTCAGACTGTTCATTGTGAAGATGAAACTTTCATACTATCATCTGCTGTTTCATTATGCAGCCTTGTGCTGTATAATGACTGTCCTTGCATCTCTTTCAATTATTGTTATGTTCCTCAGACGCCTTTTTGGAGGATAGTGACTCGTGTGTGTAAAAAGCACTCGCAGAGATCCTTCTGTTTTGTTCTAATACAAGAATTATTACGTCAAATAAATCAACAATAAATTCTCCGTGGTTGACTTTCAACAGAAACTTTAAACTCTTCAAAATATCTTACAATACGGTCACTAATCGTTTCAGTCCTCCTCTCTCCAACTCAAACAAAGTAACTCCCAAGCTGCCACCCAGCCCCTCATTAAACCTGTTACCTAGTGAGGAGGAGCCAAGGCAATCATTAGCCAATTGTTATTTCCAAAGTTTCCTAAATCAAAATCCATAATTAAATTTCTTGATCTCAATTTTAACAGAAAGAATAATATAAATTCAAATCAGCTTGTTTTACTATATATTAGTGACTTAATCAAAATAAACCTATTATGGCTGCAACAATGACTAATAAACAACCTTGAATTTGTACCTTGCAAGTATATGTTTTCTAGTAAAATTAATAAATAGGATGAAATCATTATTAAAATAAAAACAATTTACGATTTACCTGATTGACTAACTGGTGTTGTTGAACAGTCCTTTTTCCTTTGAACTCACTGGACTCTATATGGATCTCATACATGGCCCCACAACCACCTGAAAGCACAGGATCACACAAACAACACTGTCATTTCCCAAGTGTATGTGGTTTCTACACAACAATAAAATGTGCAGAATAATCACTATGATGCGACGTCTAGATATTTTAGAAGCATTGGACATCTGGGATATATCCATTTGATTTGACTGAATGGTGCGGCCAGAAAACACAAAATGAGCCTTGGGAGTTAACATTTCATTTAGTCATGGCTTCAGTGAAGAGCTGGGACAAACTTGCAGTCCATCCCTATAACTTCATTCAGCCAGTCACCGGATAGATGTGTTTAAGTCAGTGGTTCTCAAAGGGGGGTCCCCGGACCCTTGAGTGGGTTCCCAGCAAAAAAGGGAACACTTTATTACGTTATAATTCCATCCATAAGTAGCACACTGACATAATGTCTGACTATTTTGGTCATGGGTTTTATACACTTTCTGTAATAAAACATCTCAGCAAATATCCTATCAGCAGGGGGACCCTAGGACTAAATCTTATTAAATGGGGGTTCTTGGTCTAATTTGCGTTAGTTTAGGGGTCCTTGATGTAAAAAGATTTAAGTTACCTGATATATCCACAACTTTGAGCGACGAGGCTAAGGGAAACTTCTCCTTCAGCACCGCTGCGATGCGGACCTCTCCGTCTGTTTGTGTGGACATGCATCTCTGCACGTGGCCAGCAACCTCGACCTGAGGAGGCAGAAGCGAAGAGCTGCGTCAAGTTTAGCAAACTGCTGTTAGCATCGCAGACTGGACCGTCTGAACTGCAGTACGAGAATAAAGTCAACGTGTATTTACTTGATTACTAAGGAGAGTCCGGAGAGCAGAGGTCGCAGTGGCGGTCAGGCTCCGTCTACAAGCCAACATTATGAAGCTGTGGCGTTTGTTTAATCATGGGACGTTTATTAAAAATCCTCACCGGTTACTCAACAAGTAATGTCCTCGGACAGCTTCGTCCCACTGATATGACGTCAGACATCCGGGTACTTCACGGGTCGCCTTTTTTTCTATAATAAAAATAGCATAATGATACATACATACATATTTAAATATAACCTAAAAAGAAAAACTGGATTGATTAAAATATTATGTTGGGGTTTTTTTCAGATAAATTCAAAATTAAAAAAATACCTTTTTAAACCCGATATACGTTATAGGAAACATTGTAAGGCAAGGGCGTCATTTTGTGTCAAAAAGTGGTGGGGACATAAGGACTCAGATGAGGGGTGCGATGATACATTTGGGTCACGAGACATGACGATACAGGAGAACAGGAAGATTTTTAACACTATTTTGAAGAAATATGAAATGCTGAAATAGGCCTACATGAGCGAGAAAAATGGATAATTAAACACTTCATTTCCTATAATAATATGTTTCTGCTCCAATGTATGGTGGAAATGTTTTTTTTTATGTAGAAGGAATCAAAAAATTCAGCTGGCAGGGGACAATTCATAAATAAAAAATATAACAGAACATAATGCAGTAATCAGCAGCTACTTTTTTTGGACAATGCACATTTGATTTTTACTATATTTAAATTGCATTGCATGTTTTCTTATTGTGCAAATAAACCTTTCTCAAAGTGTTTATTTGTTAGTTAACATTTCTTGGTGCAAATATATTTTTCAGAACATTTTTAACATTTGAAAAAGTGATCGGGACAAAATCAGCTTTTTCAAAACATGGTGGGGACATGTCCCCAGTGTCCCCAGTGTAAATGACGCCTATGCTGTAAGGGGACTTTAAATTTATAGGCTATTGTAAATCCAATAATGTATGGGATGTACATAAACATGAGAGATGAGAGACTAAGGTTGTAATTTTAAAAACTGTTACTGTTAATAATATCTCCCAAATTACTTGCAACGCTTGTATTTGCTCCCGTTAAAATGTCTTCTTCATTATGTGAAGAAATGTGCAAAGTTTGTGCCCAGGGTGGCTGTTCAGATGCAGAAGGGGAAACAAAATAAACAAAACATTGTAGTAAATGATTGCAGTGAGCAGTCATGCGCAATAGACCTTAAGACATTTTGACTTCACACAGTAGGAAAGCACATGTTACTGATAACATTAACAAAGGCTGTCTTCTATTCATGTCCCATATCCCATTAATGACCATGACAGAGGAGACAATCGTTAATTGTATTATTTACACCTGTGCTTTTCCTTCAGTCAAAATGTCTTCTGTGAAAAACCCTGGAGCTGACATACCTAAATAAAATGGTCAGATTTGTTCTTTTTACTTCCGCTATACATAGCCCTTTCCTTTCTAAAAATAAAGATCATTATTAGCTGGAGCAGGTTGGACAATATATTTATAACCATATTAACTACAAATATATTTATTTAATTGTTTTATTGCCTTACAGAGTTCAACTATACAGGGTATGTGCAATTCACAGTTTGGAGTTAGCCAAAGTTTTGGTTGATGTTGTCACCCTCAGACTATGTATGTCCGTTCTTCTTTTCATGACTGAACTAAATTTCTTATCCACGACCTTCCGTCTACTTTGCCAATAGAGCTATGAAGCCTCGATAGCTAAACTTTCAGGTTGACTTGCATCTCAGTCGGTGTTTTTGATAATGTCACCATCTCTACAAAATGGCTCCTTTCCTCCTTTTCAGGGAAACCTCACATGCGCATTGAATGCTGGTGATGGCCACACTGCTGAGCCACACAGCCCAGTAGAGTGAGCAAGACTTTACATTCAACTACATAGATAGATAGATAGATATTCATATCATTAACTCTAAATGTATTTAAGCTTTTATTTTATCCTGTCTCACAGGATGCAGTCATGTTATTAGTGATACCTGCACTATTCCTACTATGATAGTGTAAAAGTAAATCTACCAATTCAACTTTAAGGTTTTTTAGTTCAATCTTCCATATCAGTTGGAACAAAAACAGTCCCATGGGACAGTCTGGCTCAGATGGACATTTTCATGAAAAGAAGGTCTGAACGAGAAGCTTATCTCACTCTGCAGGTTGTAGACCCCTACATTAATGGAGGCTGAGGACTGAGGAGCCATTAGTGGCTGTTGACAGTAGGCCCTAGTGCCTTTTCACTACAAGCCTGAGCTTTGTTTGTGCACAAGACAAAGCTGAGTTTCTGACGTCAGTACCCTTTAAAGACATGATGTTACCAGAGAATCGCAACAGTGTACAAGTGCAGAGATGGAAAGCACCACTTTCCCCACACTGACCTTGATGGTTCTCTTCCTCAGCTGGACTTGCTGTGCTGAGGAGGATACAGAGGCTCTCCCCTGCCCAGAATACCAGGAGGGTTTTGATGGCTCTTGCTATGAGTTTGTGGGTCTGCAGCGATCCTTCCTCAGTGCTCAGGGATGGTGTGAGCAAGGCGGAGGACACCTAGCCTTCATCCTGAATGATGAAATACAGCAGTTCCTTCAAAAGCACCTGGAGCCGGGGAGGGACTGGTGGCTCGGGCTGGCACCTGCAGCTCCAAACCTCACGCTCGACTCTGCTGCTATCGATGGTGAGAGGGCATGTGGACAGGGGAACCAGAGTAGACGCTGACTCTAAAGGCTTCTGTGTAGATTTTAGGGAGTTTACATGTATTTGAGTGCTATGATATAGGGCAGCTGCATCACAAGTACTATGAGTATTAATTACAAAGCTTGTAAATGTCTCTGAAAACTACCATTTAATTTACTACCATTTTAAGTACTTTACTGCACATATGAACAACTAATTCGATGTATCTGTGATCAACGATTATATCTAATAATTGAGTGAAAATGTCAGAGATGAAAACGATCACCTCTGCTGCTATCTCATTAGGCAGCTTGCAGGTCCATTGTATAGCACTGCATTGTGTTTGTTTGCCGACATTTGTTAGAATACTAGCACATCTCGATATCTCCCTCAAGCAGCAGTGTGATGAGAGATATTTCTCATTCATTTAAACTTGTCAATAGGCTTGCTGTCAAGTGGCTTGATTTACAAACGTGGCTTTATTTTCCTTCACAGAGAATGAGTCTTTAGAATTTGTTTACCCTGTCACCAGCTCAATCTGTTGCTTTGTTGTTTTATGATCCCTAAATTGCATCTTAACAATTAACTTCCCAGATAGAAAAGATCTAGAGAATGACCCTGTCTTGAAATTTGGAGTGATAACATCTTCTTTTGGAGACATTTTGCTGAATAGCAGACTTTAAAATAGAAGTTTGATTAAATTAAATGGTTAAATGTAATGTTTTGGTAATTTCCCAGGTTCCTTAGCATGGCTGGATGGCTCAGATGTCAGCTATAGTAACTGGGTGAACATGCCAGATGCAGAAGCAGCCTGTGGACATATCCTGAGACATTCAGGCTTCCAGTGGGAAGCTGCATGGAACTGTAGCCAGGAGCTCAACTTCATTTGCCAGTTTGGTATGCACTTCTAAATAAATCAACATAAAGCATTAAACATGTGTAAACCTTATTCCTGTAATATCATTCTTGACTTTCTCCCTCAGATTCTGGGAGATCTATTGCATGTGACGGCCAAAATGCAACACTGCAATGTGGTTCTGGTCAAGTTTTAGATATAGACGACAGCTTCTATGGTCGAAAAACAATTCACTACTGCCGATCCAAACTTACAGCCTCGCCCACATCCTCCCAGGAGGAGTGCAGCTGGATAGATGTTATAGATTCTGTAACAGGTATTGTGCTGGATGAATTCATGCAACTACTAAGAAAATAGCTGGTGTTTCTCCTTAGTGTTAATACGCCTCTTTAAAGAGATCTCTGACTCTATCATTACAAGGTTATAGAAAGCATTTAATATGATGAAAATTAAACAGTCTCATGCTTTTCAAACTTGTAAAAATACTGTCAAGGCTGTTTAAATATAATCTAAATAATCTGCAAGATTTCGTAATTTAATTGATATATGTGTCAATCCAGCCCAGTGCCATGGACAGCAGGCTTGCCAGGCTCCAGCTGATCTCAGCTCTTTTGGTGAACCATGTCCTGCGCTGGGGAGTTACCTGTCTGTAGAGTACCGCTGTAAACAAGGTCAGATGCACAATTTGTCCTTTTAACTTCCACTATTTAAAATAATACTGTAGATCCTTATTAGAACGAGCAGATTGGACAAGGTAACTTAAAAATAAAATAAATGTAGCTATGAAGCCTCTCTAGCTAAACTTGCAAGATGACTTTCATCTCAGTCAAATGATTACCTCGCTGATGTAATTAGCAGAGCGAGCTTAGATTAAATGCACTGTTAAAATTATTATAACAGGCTCCTAGATGCAGTATGTTAGCGATGAAATGTATACTGGAGCAGTGTTTACATGATTCCAATGAACAGTGTGATTTCCTCTCAGGACTCTACTTGTTGATGAGCAAGCTGGCGGCCGTCTTTGATAATGTCACCATCACGGTGAATGGCTCCTTCATCCTTTTCAGGGAAACCTCACATGCACACTGAATGCTGGGGATGGCCACACTGCTGAGCCATACAGCCCAGTAGAGTGAGCAGGACTTTGCATTCAACCAGACAGATAGATTGATGTAACTTTATGTATGTACATAACTGTATTTAACTGTATTTAAGCTTTTCTTTCTATATCACAGGATGGAGAGCACTGTGATGCACAGATTCCTCCGTCCTGGTGTTTTCATGGTTCGAGTGGAGTGCACCACCAGTGACTGGCATGTTACTGCTCAGAAAGCCATAAACATTCAGGAGCCTGTTGGAAAGTTTGGTGTGTTTAAGTGCTATAGCGGGAACATGTCAACAGATGGCACTAAATGCAATGCACTTCATGGTAGGCCTGTTCAGATCCAGGTGATGGTAGAGGCAGGTGGGTCGGTCTCACACTGTAGTGGATACATGCTTCTGAAAAACCACTTCTCCATAAATACAGAATAATTTGATTCCTTTTTTTCCTGTAAATAGGTACAAATGTTTCCTACTCAATTCAACACGAAGACCACTTCATTGCAAACTCGTCAGTGGACAGAGGGATCACCCCCCACAACATTACACTGAGTGTAAGTGTGGTGGAGAAGCTTGAACATGGCTGCCACCCCTGACTCTAACTGCCTCTAACAGGGTCACAGCTCGCACAGTGTCAACTGATCTGGAGCTGTGTCTGCTGGAGCCTGTTGAAGGCCTGCAGGCCTCTGTGATAGCAGAGGACAAGTGTCCAGACTCTAAAGATCTCATCATTGGTGTATCGTTAGAGCGAGGAGCCCCTGTGGAGCTGCTCTTCACTCTGACTGGAGCTGGGGACACTCTCTCCGAGACCAGAGACATGCTCAATGGCAGCTTACAAGCTTATACATTCTCCAGCCCACTCGAAGGTACTTACAGCTTAAGCTGTACTGTAATTCAATTAAAACAGTCACCCATAGTATGTGATAAATGTGATCTTCTCAATGCCCTTAAATTCAAACTTTTGGTAAAGGATTGTTGAAGGTGAAGGTACGAGCCATGAATGCCTTCTTTGCTTCTGATGCGGATGTGGACTTAGAGAACATACTTCAGGCTTGCCAGAATTACTCTGACCATTCACCAGATGAACATGGGAACACAGTATGTAGAAGATTAGCATCACACAATAGCAGTCTGTTTACTTCTGAAATGTATTTTGACATAAAATTATTAATTTGTACAGGTGATGATTTGGTTACAGCACAATTATTTGTCTTCACCTACAGACAGGTAATATGAGTGTCTACGACTCTAGTGGCTTCAAAATAATTGCTACTCCAGACACTGTGGTGGACTACACTCAGAGTGTCACACTGAGCGTGACTGGAACTGAATCATTACCAAGCAAAGGACTCACATTTGAATGGAAGTGTAGTAAGTACAACTATGAATTCACTACTGAGAATTTTAAATTAGTTTTTAAACCATAACTAAAGTAATCACAGGGGGTGAACCCAAATAGAATAACACAGACAATCCAAACCAGTAACCTTTTAAGGACAGTGAAGCTTCAAATGCTAAGTGTTTGTGACAGTGAGAACATTTCCATGTGCACTGTCAGTCCTGTTTCAAGACCTCATTTTGATCATAATCATAATCATATTCAGGAAAGGAATTTTAAATTGAATGTGACAAACCTAGTTATTCAGCTCCCTGTATATATGAAGATGATCAGAAACCTGCCTCAGGTCTTCTGGTTTCAGAGTATTCTGGTACTCCAACTAGAATATTCTGGTTTCTTCAAACCGGCATACGACCTATTCCAGATTTCTGAAGCCAGGATATGATGTTTAAATGTTAACAACAAGCACAGAACCTCCAAAAACCTGATCATAGCTCGGACAGTAATGCATGTTAACTCACTGTGTCAAACAGGAGTTGATTCAGTTGGATAGGATAGTTTCAGAGGTTGTAGTTAGAGGTGAGGTTCTACTGGGTTGCATTGTGTTCATGTTATTTTGTCCAATATGTAAATACGCTTTAATGACACTGTGAATCATGATGTTTGGCTTTATACAACAGCAGCACTGTAATGTCTTTACTGTCTTACTTTAAAGTTCTTCCTCTGCTTCTTTCCGTACAGAAGGAAACTGCAAATGCACAAACAAAACAACGGACAAAATTTATGTTATCCCAAAAGACTGCCTTCCAGATCCCTTTGATAATTTCAGCTACGCTTTAACTGTGAGGAGAACGACCTGGTTCAGGAAATGGGTCAACCTTGCTTCAACTTCAAAGTGCATCACTGTTGCTCCAAAGGAATTCACAGATGTCACCATCAGGTAAAAGGGAGCCATTTACAATAAATGCTTAAATATTCTCAAAATAATTATTCCTCACGTTGTTTGTAGAGGGTGACATAAATTTCTTCTAGTGCTCCCCACTGCTTCTGAAAGTGCAATACAAAAGAATGAACTATAAGTTGACAAAGTTTTGGTTTTAGAATTTATGGACCAAACAGGAAATCTGCTGGAAAGACTTACAGGTATCAAAATAGGTTATAGTTATATATTCACTTTTTTTCTTGCAGTTGTGATGATTGCGCTTCAATAAATGTGAACGACCACATTAAGCTAAGACTGATCTGTGTGACAACTTGCCCAGAGGTAGTTTGGTATATTGGGGAGTCCAGACCTTTGACAGTAAGTCTGAAACTGCACTTACAATGATTAAAACTGTGGCATAAGAGATTATTGGGTCAGACAATTATTAACTGATCATCTTTTCCCAGGGTGACCTCGAAAAATGTTTCTCTGAAGCAGGAAGAAGGCCACCTATCGAGAGGCAGGATGGCAACACTGAATATATTGTACATAGCAAACATCTGAAAGTTTCAAGGGACACATTGCACAACTTCAGTGTGATTGCTTATGGTGTGTTTTCATCCCATGTAGTCAGTCATAATGCTCTCTTCAGCACTGCAGGATGTTTATATATAGATTAAATGTAGTATAATTAGGGGTTGGGACTCTTTTTGAACGCCTCTTGAAACAGAGTGCTTTGTTCAAAACTACATATTATTTGTTTTTGCTTGAACTGAAGCTGATAATGTTTTTCTTGTTTATAGGCAAGAAGGAGGCAGGTTTTGCCAAGTACACGTTTCCAATACCAGGTCCTGAATCAGCCGAACCAACTGTAAACTCAGGAGTGACATCTGAAGCCCCTGCAGACCCCAGACCCCCCTCTTGTAGCATCTCTCCGCTTTCAGGAACAGTTCTCGATGCTTTTGACATTACCTGCAAACCAAGCTCTTTCTGCTCTACGGGCTGTTTTTATTGCTTCAAGACAGACACAGGTGAGAATGTGCACAGTTGTCTCTTGGTTTAATTCAATCTTAAACAAATGTAAAAAAAAAAATGTTTTAAAAAAGGGCCTTTCTGTAAAGTAACAGATATCTTGTGTTTGGCAGTGAACAATATTTGCATATTCAAAGATTTCTGCTTTTTATTGAGGGAGTGGGAGTAGATGTCATTTTAAGAATTGTTAATGAGGTAATTAAACTCTCTTTTTGTCAATCCATATCAAACAGTGTGTAAAGCAGTGTATTCTTTATCTCATGTAACATGTCTGGAGTGGATCTTTAAGCTATTTTAAAATTGTTGCGCATAAAGTAAGCCCCTTGCATGAACCAGTGTGTAGAATGACTTTGTTGACAATGGGTGACATCAAGAGTGTGCTTTACTCTAAAAATTAGCCTGTGATAAAATGTAATGCTTTGGCCATTTAGCAACCTGTGTGCAGATAAAATAATCACAATCATCATAACAGTTTACTAAATTGTCTCTTTTGTGTTATAGGCAAACATCTGCGCTGCAGTAATGCACATGAGGTGAAATCTGTCTTCCTGCCGCTCGGAGATAAGAACAATAATTACAGTTTGTCTGTTGTGGTGACTGTGAAAAATGAATATGAGAAAGCCACTACAACTGTTTCCACTCAGGTTTGTCATCTCCCAGTAATCATGTATCTTACAGAACCAAGGGGGATTAGAGAAATTCAAATTGGAAAAATCCATTGTTGATGTAAAAGTCTCTAAAGTCTGCATAATTGAGACAGACTTTCTGTTTATGTTCCTCAAGGTGCAGAAAAGCAGCTCCAGTACCTCTGTGGGGGCTCTGCAATCTGCAGTGAAGGACACTGTGAGTCAGTTAGAGCAGCAAGGCCTGCTCTCCGGTGAGGCACTGGGACAAATATTTACTTCAATTTCTGATATGTTGAATACAGCGGCGGGCCAGGATCAGAACAATGCGAGGAGGAAGGTAACAGAATGTGATTGATGTTGACTCTGTAGAGGCTAATATATTTCTGTGATATTTGTGAGGCTTACAACATTTATTTTGGGTCGAGTGGAGAGCACTGTGACGTTCAGCAGCGCTTCCTTCTCTTTCAGCTCAGAGAGCAAATGTTGACCAAAATGACCACAGTTCTGCTGGACTCACCCAGCAACACAACTCAGGAAGTGCAAGTGACAGCCAGAGCTGTGGCTGGACTCACCCAGCGCCCAGAGGAGCTCAGTCCCGCTGCTCAAGTACAATACAGCAGATCAGTACAGCAATGTCAAAACTATTTCAAATTATTAATACAGGGTTAAAAAGTTAAATTTGAAACAATCTACAAATGTCAATCCTGCTGTATATATAGCACTTTGTAAATAGTTAAAGTGATTACACATTAATTAAAAATGTTCCATCAGTAAATTACACACTATAAATGCTAAATCTGTTGTATATTTAACATTTAGATGAGTATAGCAATACTAGTGGGTGTTAATGACCTCAAGCCATTGTTTTATTGTTTGCCATTTTAAGTTAAAGCTTAAATTTCAATTAAAAACATTAACATTTGTTATCACTACACAACATATGAAAGAAGAAAGAAAAAGTTGTGGTGCACCTCAACGTTTTGCAGCTTGTGTTCAGTTTGGGGCGCAGGACAATGAAAAAATTAAATATATGTTCATTAGCTCTTTTGAAAGCTAAACACACATCACGCAGATATTTTCTGTTGCTGTATTTCATCTCTCTCAGGAAGAAGCGGGCTCACTGTTGGTAGACCTCAGCTCCTCCCTCAACACTATCAGTGTTAATCAGGACGGTGGGGATGATGGAGAAGTTGTGCAAGCAGCTACAACAATAGTTGAAGCAGCCAGTAATGTTTTGAATGTTTCTTCAAATGTAAGGACAAAATTATCACTGATATTGTTAGATTCCATATTGTTTGTTTTTTCCAGAGCCTGTGGTCTTTACTAAACAGTTTTAATTTTTTTTCCTCAGAAAAAGGTCTCAGATTTTCTTCTTACTGGGATAAACAATGTTCAAGTGCTTTGCTGAATAATAAAAAACTGAATGGAGACCCTTCCATCATTGATTCTGGTCAGATCAGTGTGTACGTCAACAGGTAAGAGGGGCCTGACACTGGCTAGAACATGTACTAAATGATAAACTACGGTTTGCTGAAGTTACTAAGATAATTATGATTCTGCTTCCTGAAGAGTGTCTCCTGAAAAGATGAAAATTCAGGATATAAATGTCCAGAAGAGCAGCTCCTCCAGATTTTCGTTCCCCTCACTGCCTGCTCATATTGTCGCTCCAGAGGAGCCAATGGATGTCAGAGTAAGTGAAATTGAAACAATAAAAATTTACAGTGAATTTAAAGATGCTGATGCAACCCATTGGTTTTTCACCATATTGTGTCTATGGCTGTTCAAGTTCAAGTTGTGTTGTAGCTAAAGAGCTCTGCGTTGATCTAGCCAGTACGGTATGGCTTTCCTTATGGTTGAACATACATGCCTGGACCAGTTAAAAAAGGCAACAGTAAACTAGTTCACTCCTCATAAAGTTCTTATGCGGATAAGTTACAAATCTGCCCCCTAACCTTTAATGTTTGCACTATTTTGGGTTTTGAGAATGCTACATAGAAAATGGAGGAGAGAAGCATTGTTTCTCAAAATATTGTTAAAATCTGATCATGTACAAATCATGTACAACTAACTAACAGAAAAAGACTGAATAAAGTAATCTGAGTCACTGTTTTGCTCAATTTGTTTTGTTGATATATCAGCATATGCCTGCCTCCTTCTAGATGATGAGTTTTGAGACAAATCCGTTTTCTTGGGAGGAGGAAAACATCACAGGAACTGTAGGATCCGTGTCTCTCACCAGAGTGAACGGCACTGTCATTCCTGTAGAGAACTTACCTGACGATATAGAGGTAATAGTTGTTTTAGAGAAATGTTTAGTTACTTCGGATAACAACGGTAGACTGTTCAGAATAATGTGTTTTCTGGCTTTTCAGATTCTCTTACCAAGGCTTGACGTTGGGGAGAACCACAGCACAGTCCTGGACCTTGCCAGTTTCAGTACATTAATAATTGATGTTCCCTCACCGGATATAACACTGGTGCTGAAAATGGAGCCCTCTGAAGACATTTCCTTCATGCTATTCCTGGGATGTAAAGATTATCCAAATGAGCATAATTATATAGCCAAGACTCAGATCCCTCTAGAGAATTCCAAAGAAGGTAAAAATTTAAGCTAGCAGATTTACTTTTTGTAGCGTGCACGACATGCCTGAAAGTCACATCTAAATTACAGTCAAGAGACGAGATAAGATGACAGTGTTGTCAGCTGGGTGTCTAGTAAGGAAATATTTCCTGGCTCTCTTCTGACAGTCTACATTACTTTGTGTGTGCTTGCGACAAATGCAACAAAGTTTTCCCTCAGAAACTTATGTGAGATGAACCATTATAGTTTATTATAGTTTCCCTAGTTCACAGAATACATTAACTATAACTGAATAATTGAAGATCCCATCTCTGTACTGATCAGTGTGTGGCTATAAACTGCCATGTGAATTGATATCACAATGAGAGAATATGCCAGATACGTACATGTGCATATCTGCTCTTTTAACACAGAAGAAAAATATACCTGGGTGCTGAGTCCCGAAGACAGAACAGGAGATGTTGGAGTGCACTACCTTGTTATGAAGCCCATTGTAGAGCCAGGCGTCAGATCCGTCAATGCCACTGTCACTGTCATTTCCATCGCTGCCCAGTGCAAATACTGGAATGAAACTAAGTCTTCTTGGAGTGAAGATGGATGCAGGGTGAGTAACACACACACCACCACAGTGGTTGCATCTATACACCCTTTAAAAGTTTGACTGACTGGTTTTGTTAATTTTTTTCCCTACAGGTAGGTCCGCTCACCACGCCTTTGGTCACTCAGTGCCTCTGTAACCACTTAACTTTCTTTGGCAGCTCCTTCTTTGTCATGCCAAACTTGGTGGATGTGTCGCGCACCGCAGAACTTTTTGCTACATTCACCAACAATCCTGTGGTGGTGTGTTTTGTGGGAGCCATTTTCACTGCTTATCTCCTGGTGGTTATATGGGCACGCAGGAAAGACATCCACGACTCAGCCAAGGTAATTCCCAGGAAAGACTTTCACCACATTATATTGTTGATTTGAAATGCCAGACCATTTTGGGAAGTTCAGACTTTGCTGCTCACACATATAATATGAAGTCTCAAAGTATGCGTATGCATTTTTAATTTTCCTGATATTTGACACTTAGTTGCGTAACATTCACTTCATGCTGTTGAATTTACTGATTAAAAAACATCTGAACACTGTGTTTTCGCATTCACTTGCAGGTGAAGATAACAGTGCTTGAGGATAATGATCCCTTGGCTGAGTATCGTTATATGCTGAATTTCAGCACAGGGCATCGGCATGGTGCCTCCACCTCCTCTCAGGTCAGCAATGCGTGTTAAAGCTTAGAGGGACCTCACAGAAAGATAAGAAAGAAAACATTTATGATGCTAAAAACTCTGGGCATCTCTGTCCATCTCGATTGATCTTTTTTGTTTTAGGTGACAATAATTCTGCTGGGTACCGAGGGAGAGAGTGAGCCCCACCACCTGACAGACCCTGATAAGCCAGTGTTTGAGAGAGGTGGGGTGGACATGTTTCTGCTGACCACACACTTTTCCCTTGGAGATCTAAAGAGCATCAGGCTGTGGCACGACAACTCAGGAGCTCACCCTGCATGGTACGGGTTAGAGGGCAAGACATGGTGATAAAATCCAAGTCCGAGTTTGTACTGTTGTAAGCACAGTAAATACATATTGATGTTACATGCAGGTATGTCAACAAAGTAATGGTGCAGGATCTGGAGAGTGGTCAGAAATGGCACTTCCTGTGTAACTCCTGGCTGGCTGTAGATGTGGGAGACTGCACTCTTGACAAGGTCTTCCCGGTCGCCACAGAGATGGATTTGAAGAGGTTTAGGTAAGTCGAGCCATGGATCTGGTAAAATCACCAAATAATTTGACTTGATTCTGTATTATTTTAGATTTTTTATTTCTCCTGAATACAAATCTTTTTTTTCAATACTTTCCAGTAACCTGTTCTTCATGAAGACAGCCAAGGATTTCCGTGACGGCCACATCTGGTTCTCTGTCATTAGTCGGCCTCCCTCCAGCACTTTCACATGTGTGCAGCGAGTGTCCTGCTGTTTTTCCCTGCTGCTGTGCACCATGCTGACCAGCATCATGTTTTGGGGCATCCCCACCGACCCCTCTGAGCAGACCATGGACCTGGGTTGGTAACAAAACACAAAGCTTTATCTTGAAAAACTACATTAAGTCATTATGGTGTACAATTATTTTACTACTACTAACAATAGAATTAGTTGTTCAAAGCCTCTCAAAATTCAATTCTTATTTCCCTTATAGCCCCATAGACGCACAGAAAGGTTGTGATTATTCCCGGTTTTCAGCACTAAATCTGCTTTTTGAAGCATCATGCAAACAAGAAAAAATATTTCTAAAGGGTTTTTACATTTGTATGTGAACTTTTGTATGGTAATGACCTGGGGCAGGGAAAGTAAATCTGGGGCTTTAATGGATACATGTGTACATGTAAATGTGCATTTTGGTATCCAAAATAATGAGTCTTACTGAAAGATCCGCCATTAAATCACATCTATTTAAACTTGATTGTAACACTTTACTTTGCAGGTCACATCGAGTTCACCTGGCAGCAAGTCATGATCGGAGTTCAAAGTTCAATCATCATGTTCCCCATTAATCTCCTTATTGTGAGCATCTTCAGAAACACTCGTCCTCGAGAGAAGGCCGCCAACACGGACGCATCCATACATGGGAAGACTGGTCGAGTTTCTCCCTCACAGAATTCCTCCCCTCAGAAAGAGATGAAGGACATCACACCAGACACTGTGATCAAGGTGTAGTAACAGATATCCTTATCAGCGATTTGCAAGTAATGTTAACTCCTCTGTTCTACACGTCTAAAGTGCTTGATGGGGTTTCTCCATTAGGACATAAAGAGAATTGCTCAGTCACTCTCAAAGGCCATGAAGAGTCCGCTGCCTGACCTGGAGCTCCGGCCCGGTCAGCAGGCGGACATCAACACTCTGCTGTCTCTGGTGGAGGACATCATAAGACAGCAGAACCGAGGGGCAGGAGACTTTTACACTGAGGCCTCCAAGAAGGATCGCTCTATGATCCTCAGCTTACGTGCAGTTGATCTACAAGGTAAACACCACCATAACCTTTACAACACTCTTGATATCATGTGTTTTTATTGGCCATTTGGAGGACCAAGCTTCTTTTTTTTTATCAAATAACTGAATGAATTACTATACTTACTACTAGTTTTACTACTTTAAGTATATTTTTCAACAACATAATATATATTTTTACTAAAGTAGTAAAAATAATAGATTGATCATTCGGAGGTCTGGTATATGAAAATCTTCCGTCACAGGTTCTTGGTTTTGCTGCTTTCTTTGCACTTGTTCTGAAGAAAGTTGACCAGGAGGAGTACGGAGAGCCTCAGATAGATGAGAGTCTGAGAAACACAATGAATTACTATAATGCTCATTTAATTTTATCTATCTATCTAAAAATTGTATCTCTTTCAGTGTCTTCAGAACTTTATTTCCTGTAGCTGAATTTATTTTTCTTCAGCTGTATTTTCATCATATATAGATATAAAATGTGATTGTTGAGGCCATACCTTCCTTTTTATATTGACCATGGTCTTATTAGCATACAGAAAGATAAAATAAATAATGCAACTACCTCACAGAAAATTATGCTGAAGGAAATATATATTATGTTGTTGAAAAATATACTTAAAGTAGTATAATGTTTATTTTCTTATTTCCTGGACAGAAAACAGTGTGTGGGGGAGCCCTGAGAGGACTTCAGTAGAAGGTCAGAAGAAGAGCAACAACAGCAGGTACCTGTACAGGCAGCTGCGTCATGTTGAGAAGGAGCTGGATTTGTTGGGACCTTCTCAGTTTCCAAAGCCAGATAGCTACAACCGAGCCATGCAGCAAGTTCAGGGAATGAAGGGTCTCCTGGACTTCCACCTACCCTCGTCTAGCCTGGAAAGAGAGCAGCTCGACAGCAGCCCAAGTCCAGAAGAGAGCATCAATGGAGACTCCACCAAGAAGTGCTGTCAAGGAGGTCTGCCATGGTGGTTTGTGTTTGTTGGCTGGATACTGGTGATTGCAACAAGTGGTGTGTCGGGATACTTCACCATGATGTATGGGCTGACGTACGGGAAAGGGCGCTCTATAAGCTGGCTTATCTCCATGGTGGTCTCCTTCTTTGAGAGTCTTTTTATTACTCAACCTCTGAAGGTGAGCGACATCCCAGTTCGTGGTTCGAAGATACAGGGGTAACATGGCTAGCATTGCAAATGTTCAGAAATTAATTCATTAAGGGGGCTTGCTTTGGACATTTCCAACCAATGTCTTTTGCCTTTTTTGTGTTTGAACAAACATTACTATGCTAATATATTTATGATGCACTGACTAAAAATATTACACTAAAGACAGACTTTAAGTATAGGATCAATTTTTGGAAATTTGATATTGATAAAGACCAGTTTACCAGTATTACAGTACATGCATACTGTATTTATAATAGATTGATCATTCGGAGTTCTGGTATATGAAAATCTTCCGTCACAGGTTCTTGGTTTTGCTGCTTTCTTTGCACTTGTTCTGAAGAAAGTTGACCAGGAGGAGTACGGAGAGCCTCAGATAGATGAGAGTCTGAGAAACACAGGTATGTTTTTTCCAACATTTCTTCTTGCATTGTTTTGTATGAAAAACAAAATGCATCAGTACAATATTCGTCTCTCAGATGATCCTGATGTGGTGCGTGCAGCAAGAAGAGACAGCACATGCAGTTTCTATCAGCCACCACCTCCCACTGACATCGAGAGGATGAGGAACAACATAATTAAAGAGCAGAAAGTCTTTGCCCTCATAAGGGAGATTCTCAGTAAGAGAAACCATTTTTAATAAATAAGAACACAGGAAGCAATGCAATACAGTCTGAGATCCAGATGTAAGATATTTGTTTTTCAATGCAGCCTACATGGGATTTATGTGGATGTTGCTCCTGGTGGCGTATGGTCAGAGGGACCCCAACGCTTACTTTCTGACCAAACACATTCGTCAGAGCTTCAGCAGAGGGATCTCAGACAGTATGAGTATTCAGGATGTGTTCAACTGGGCAAACACAACTCTGCTGAGCAGCTTGTTTGGAGAGCACCCAGGTCAGTATGCTGTGAAGTTGTTAACTGTCGCACATGACTGCTTTGCATGAATCCCCTTTAACATTTGCAAATCTTGTCTACTTATGACAAAATGGAAAATGTGAGTAAATTATCCAGCTTATATAATTGTTATTTTAGAGTTAAATTGGCAAATAAATAGGTAGCTAAAATATGCATATTGTTAGTGGCCTGATGGTAACTCTAGGCCTTGTATTTTAAAGCTTGTTGTATTTATAGATTGTTCTTTACCCTAATTTTCTCCAAGTAAATTAGAACCAACAATAAATTGGATTACAAAACAACTAGAAACTGGATCTGACAATAAAATATTAAGAGTTGAGATGATGATAATATATTAAAAAATTTCACATTTAAATAGTGGACTTCATATGAAAATGTACTGATATCACCTCTGTAGGTATTTTTGCTCATAAAATGATATTGTATTTAAAGATTATATCACTATGCAAAGCCTTAAAGTGTCTTTGTTCATTACTACTATACTATGTGGTATCAACAGTATATTTATGTAGTAAAGTACAAAATGCCTTCAAATGTTTTCTGTCATTAAGCTGTAACTGTGTAAAAAGGCCTTGTGTAGTAACTACAATGTATTTGGACTGACTCTGACAGATTAAAAGAAAAGTTTTATCTGCAAGAAGAATTTTAAACACACAAAATAATTTATGTCCTTAAAATGTGTTTATTCTTGTTACTTACCTTGTCAGGATTCATCACAGATGGAAACTCCAAGCTGGTGGGTAACGCTCGTCTTCGTCAGGTGAGGGTGCATAAAAACTCCTGCCATGTGGCTACCTCTATGCAGCAGTCTGAGCTTGACTGCCACGCTCCGTACTCATGGGAGCTGGAGGACATGGGCTCCTACGGTCCAAGCTGGAGCCACTCTGTGGTTGATAACTCCTCATTGAACAGTCACACACCATGGATGTATCAGTCCCAGGGTAAACTGAGGGCCTACCCTATCTGGGGTAGTGTGATGCTCTACAGAGGAGGAGGGTTTGTGGTAGATCTGGGGCCAGATTTACAAACTTCCAGCAGGTAGGCATTGAAATAAATAAACTCAATGGAATGACAGACAGATCAGAAGTGAAACAATTAGTCTACTCATTGATTTGTTGATTGACAGCAACAATTTTAGTAATCGACGTATTATTATTAGAAATATTTTCAAATAAAAATGTCAAACTTTTATAGGGCGAGGAATTGCACCTTTTCCTGATAGCTTTTCTATAAATATTAACTGAATCCAAATTCCTTTTTTAAAAATTGTACGGACAAAATAAGTATTTGAAAGACAATGTCTTGATCTGGGAACTTTTCACACATTTTGTAGACTTAAACATTAATTAGTTAACAAAAATAATTGTTAGTTGCAGCCTTAGCAATGAAAAAAAGACAACAAAAGCCTAATTTATTGTACATTCATCCTAAAACACAATCCATATTTATATGATAAATTATATCAATTAAGACTTGGCCTTTAGATTTAATTAATGTGTCTTTGTATGCTTTTAACTCTCAATTAGCCTGAAATTAGAAGAGCAATGACACCACAGAATTGTTTATTCTGTTTGCCACCATTTCTCCACACAGTTGTTCTCTGCGTCAGAATTTGCTGTTTCATGACATCAGGAGAGAACAGTGTTTTAAGGCATGACACTTGTTATTACGACACATCATATAATTTAACCATGTTTTTCTCTTTGTAGAACCCTTCAGTACCTTTATGACAACACCTGGTTTGACGTGTACACCCAAGCAGCCTTTGTCGAGTTCACCGTGTACAATGCCAACGTCAACCTCTTCTGCATCGTCACACTCATGCTGGAGACCACAGCCATCGGTAAATAATCCATATTCAGCCGCCGTGTGAGAGCTTCTCAGAAACTTGTACTGTTATAAGAATCGTGTAACTTTGGTGTTTCTTCCAGGAGCTTTCCAGTTCCGCAGTGAGCTTCAGAGTGTGCGTCTTTACCAGTCGACCGGCGGCCTTCACATCTTCGTCATGGCTTCTGAAGCCATCTACTTCCTCTTCATCATCTATTACATGTTTGTCCAGGTATTAATTCCTTATACCTTAAATCTACTACTGTTGCTTCTAATAATTATGACATCAAACATCTCAAACAAACTCCTATCCTGACAGGGAAAGCTGATGAAGCAGCAGAGGTGGGCTTACCTCAAGAGTAAGTGGAATCTACTCGAGCTGGCGATTATTATTCTTAGCTGGAGCGCATTGTCTGTCTTCATCAAGAGGACTTTACTGGGTTCGCGGGACATGGAGTACTACCATAACAACAAAGACCAGTAAGCAACAAGAAAAACACAATCAATACATGTATATAATCAAGGATCTTGTGTCAACATTGGTTACCAAGCACCAGTGTATGCCAGTGACCTGGACAGAGATTTGAGTTGTTTGCAAACTGTTAGTGACCAAATCAAAGCTAGAAGTTGTCTACATTTTGTATTTAGCGTTATCTGCAAAATAGTGTAGCAAGTCAATGCATTTCACCCTTCAACCTCTGAGAGAACACCTAATTTCAACCTGGAAATGAATATCTACACACAGAATCTGTTATTTTAATACAGTTTCATCTCAATAAATAGGAAAACATTACAAAGTCAACTATTATGTCCTCAATCCATTCAAAACCCTTTTCAATAGATTGTTAAAACAAAGTTCTGTTCTCTCATGCTCTGTCTCCAGATACGCCAGTTTCCATGAGACAGCCAAGGCTGATGCAGTGCTGGGGTATCTGATTGCATTCCTGGTGCTGTTGGCTACAGTCAAACTGTGGCACCTGCTGAGACTGAACCCAAAGCTGCACATGATCACAGCCACGCTGCAGCGAGCCTGGACTGATATTTCAGGCTTCCTGGTGGTCATAACCATCATGTTCCTGGCCTATTCCATTGCTGTGAGCAAGTTCCCACACTTAACCATCAACATGCTGCTGAAGTCATTGCATTTCTTCCCATTTTATCTATACTTTATGAAATAGAACTCAAAACATGGTTCTTAACAAAGACATTAACTTTCCACTTTTCAGTCTAACCTGATGTATGGTGGAAGCTATACTCCTATCGGACTCTGCTGGACGCTGCACAGACCATGGTCAGCCTGCAGCTTGGCATTTTTAACTACGATGAGGTTTGTATGAGACTATTATAATTGTACCATTACAGATTATGTACCCTTCTCCAGTGTGTTTCTTCCTCCTTCTCTCCCAGGTTCTGAATTACAATCCAGTGCTTGGGGCTTTCCTTATCGGCTCCTCCATTGTGTTCATGACCTTTGTGGTGCTGAACCTCTTCATCTCTGTCATTCTGGTGGCATTCAGTCAAGAGCAGATACATCACCAGGTACTTGCCCATGCTGAGTCTACACATGTTGTAGAAGAAGCATTTTATGAATTGATACTCCTTGAGTTATACATATTACTCACTGTTCTTGCAGCCGTCTGAAGAGGATGAGATTGTGGACCTGATGCTGATGAAACTCTGCAGTTTATTTGGACTCAAATATAAGAATCAAGGGGGTGACTGCCTGGATGAGAGGCCAGCTGTCACATCTGCTTCAAATAATGGACTGCAGACAATTTCTTCTGGGAACATTTGTGAGGGTTGAAATGCTCCTCTACTGCCAAGCAGAAGTTAAACATTAAACAACCCACAGAATGGTTTGCTTCAGTTTTTGTTTGCCATAGCTTGCTTCATTTATTCAAACCAACATGTTGTCGCTTTGTGACTGAATATTAGCCCTTGCAAGTCTATAAATTATTAGCATTTCTCTATAGTGCTGCAGATCTGTAACTAATGTAGGAGAAGTTAAAACACTGACAGGGAAAGTAGGAGCTGAGATAATCCTTGTTATGCATTGAGTAACTGTATTTAGGCTGCAGTATATTTCCTTAAACAAATACATGTTTGTTTATGTGACTAAATCTTGTACAATATGCTTTTATTCCGTAAAAAAACTTGTATTTGCATCTGACTTAAATTTAAATTGTACTTTATATGTGTTATGTGTAACTTCCATCAGCTGTCATATCAAATTTGTCAGCTATGTCCAGTAGTAGATAGTAACATATTCAGCAAGATAGATATTAAGATAAATCTAGAAACTGCACTTAAAACTATGGCAATATAAGTCTAAAATGTATTGAATGTACATTGTGATAATAATAATAATAAAACAATAATTCATACAGCACATTATATACAAACATGCAATACAATTATTAACTGCACATACAACATTGCACAGGTAGAGGTGTATTATATACAGGTATGTAATAATACAGAGGTATGAGTCCATAGAACTTCAGAGATACAGAAATATAATAGATAGAAGACATTTCCATGTCCATATGAAATTAATTTCTGTCCTTTATTGAACACAATCCACAAATGTGTGAACATCTTTCAACTGCCACACAAATAAAGAAACATCACTCTGGTATGTTTAAAATAAAAACATAAGTAAGAAGAAAACATTTAATAACTAATAAATATCAATATTATATATTATAAGTATAACAGTGTGTAATAAGTCATATCAGATGATTCAACAGTTGATTCAACAACAAAATAAGAAATATAATCAAAAGGAGATTATGACTGATTTGGTGACAGACTTGTTTAGACAAACATCCCTGTGTAAATGTGTCTACTGACAAACATTTCACTCAAAACAACTGGGGTTGACTTCATAATCGTAAAAGATCCCGACGTGGTTTTTACGTATTGCGTCATCTGTGTGGGCGTGGCTCCCGGCGTGGCAGCTCGGGTTGTCCGCTGCTGACAACAACATGCGTCGTAGGCGGACCGAGGGGGGAGTCGCCAGCAAAGTGACGGTGTGGACGGTTTAACCAGCCATAACGACAGCGTGAACTTAGCCACTACAGTTCTCTGAATACAACTTTTAAGGTTTTCTGACACACAGAGAAAATATTATCTCGCAGCGACGTCACGCTGTATCTGACTGAGGGTGTCCGGTTTCTCATCGTGAGGGATTGCGATGCCCTCTGACTTTATCTCCCTTTT